GGAGATATGAAACACAGCCTCTGACTTAAGAACCTCGTAAGAGAGGGAGATATGAAACACAGCCTCTGACTTAAGAAGCTCGTAAGAGGCAGATATGAAACACAGCCTCTGACTTAAGAAGCTCGTAAGAGGCAGATATGAAACACAGCCTCTGACTTAAGAAGCTCGTAAGAGAGGGAGATATGAAACACAGCCTCTGACTTAAGAACCTCGTAAGAGAGGGAGATATGAAACACAGACTCTGACTTAAGAACCTCGTAAGAGAGGGAGATATGAAACACAGACTCTGACTTAAGAACCTCGTAAGAGAGGGAGATATGAAACACAGCCTCTGACTTAAGAACCTCGTAAGAGAGGGAGATATGAAACACAGCCTCTGACTTAAGAACCTCGTAAGAGAGGGAGATATGAAACACAGACTCTGACTTAAGAACCTCGTAAGAGAGGGAGATATGAAACACAGACTCTGACTTAAGAACCTCGTAAGAGAGGGAGATATGAAACACAGACTCTGACTTAAGAACCTCGTAAGAGAGGGAGATATGAAACACAGCCTCTGACTTAAGAACCTCGTAAGAGAGGGAGATATGAAACACAGACTCTGACTTAAGAACCTCGTAAGAGAGGGAGATATGAAACACAGACTCTGACTTAAGAACCTCGTAAGAGAGGGAGATATGAAACACAGCCTCTGACTTAAGAACCTCGTAAGAGAGGGAGATATGAAACACAGCCTCTGACTTAAGGAGCTCGTAAGAGAGGGAGATATGAAACACAGCCTCTGACTTAAGGAGCTCGTAAGAGAGGGAGATATGAAACACAGCCTCTGACTTAAGGAGCTCGTAGAGGGGGAGATATGAAACACAGCCTCTGACTTAAGGAGCTCGTAAGAGGGGGAGATATGAAACACAGCCTCTGACTTAAGGAGCTCGTAAGAGAGGGAGATATGAAACACAGCCTCTGACTTAAGGAGCTCGTAAGAGGGGGAGATATGAAACACAGCCTCTGACTTAAGGAGCTCGTAAGAGGGGGAGATATGAAACATATAGCAAGAGGGGGGGGGGAGTAGTTCCTAGTAGTAAGGAAATGAAACTAGTTACCAGTAGCAAGGGAGGAAAGTACCTATCATTAAGAAACAGACGAAAGTAGCTCGGAGAAGTAGCTTTGAGGAGCGTGCATCATCACACACACACACACACACACTCCTACTGGGCGCTGGTGGCTGAGTGCTGTACACGTAGTTCTGTGGACCCGGGTTCGATTCTCACCGTCGGCGAGAAACAAAATGGGCAGAGTTTTTTTTCACCCTGATGCACCTGTTACCTAGCAGTAAATAGATACCTGGGAGTTAGACAGCTGTTACGGGCTGCTTCCTGTGTGTGAGTGTGTGTGTGTGTGTGTGTGTGTGTGTGTGTGTGTGTGTGTGTGTGTGTGTGTGTGTGTGTGTGTGTGTGTGTGTGTGTACTCACCTAGTTGTACTCACCTAGTTGTGTTTGCGGGGGTTGAGCTCTGGCTCTTTGGTCCCGCCTCTCAACCGTCAATCAACAGGTGTACAGATTCCTGAGCCTATCGGGCTCTATCATATCTACACTTGAAACTGTGTATGGAGCCAGCCTCCACCACATCACACCCCCACCACTGTGTGTGTGTGTGTGTGTGTGTGTGTGTGTGTGTGTGTGTGTGTGTGTGTGTGTGTGTGTGTGTGTGTGTGTGTGTGTGTGGAAAAAAAGTAGTATATAGTTACAGTTGATTGACAGTTGAGAGGCGGGCCGAAAGAGCAGAGCTCAACCCCCCGCAAGCATGAATACACACACACACACACACACACACACACACACACACACACACACACACACACACACACACACACACACACACACACCACGCAAACCAGCATATTAATTCACGCGTGCAGATGGAACAGTAAGCAACAGGAGACTGAAAATTAAAAAAGCTGACTGAGACAGTGAAAGTGTGTGTGTGTGTGTGTGTGTGCGTGTGAGAGAGTGAGGGGGGGGGGAATGCTTCCGTCACGTGACACCACCACTTGCAGGTGAAGATGTTGTCACTGTTCCATCTCCCTCTGATGGGAAGCTGACCGTTCCAGTTTCCTCTGATGGGAAGCTGGCTGTTCCATCTCCCTCTGATGGGAAGAAAAAGCGTAGAGGTGTACTATAGAGGGGGTCACAACCCCCCCCCCCACCACCCCTACTCCCAAAAGTGGGATAGGGGTAGCTGTGGCACGACCAGATGATGTTTACCGCATACATCTACACTCTTCAACACACTAATTCACCACGTCGTACTTTGCATCCTATACGGTTCCCCCCTTTGCTTTGTGTATACCTTAATAATTGCAAAGTTACCATGAAGGTTACCGATGAATGAAGACTCTCAAAAGTGGCGGTATAAAGGAAGTAGCTGGCAACTCACCGGTCCCCCATCTGGGGGTGGGAGGCAGAAGGTATATAAGGATGTGAGGCAGCGCCCCCTCGCCAGTTCCCCCTCAGCCCGGCCCTCGGAGAGTACTGTTGATCTATGTGAGTATATTCCCGGATCCTGCTCGCCTACTAGGGATTTTCATGACTAATTAGTGATGAAGGAGCGTTACTTTTCGACTTCACTCAAACTGAATGTTATGCCTTATATATTACTAGGGATTACAGTAATAGCAATAATTGAAAATTATATTTTTGCATAAGTGGTTGTACTGATAAGGGAGTCTGAGATTTTGTGAGGTTTGCGCGCCGTAAATGGAATTAAACAAACTGGTCCGATATATCTGCTTTAAGACTGCGATAGACTTCCATCATCCTTTATAACTCACCTTCATGCGAATATTCATATATGCACTATATATATTATATATTCACATACTATTGCATATAATAAATCACCGGAAACAGGAGAGCTGCCAGAGAGTTGAAAGTCAGTCAATCAATATGGGATTCACCAGAAATTTCAATCGCCAGAAATTTGCATCAATATACAAAAATACAAACCAACAGGAGGCAATAATCTACAGCCTAGTGATCTTGCATGTCATGCAAGGTGATTGAAAAGACCATAACAAAAACACTAGTAGAGTATCTGGAGATCTGGAGATAAGGACGTTAATTAAGGACACACAAAAACAACACAATTATGGGTTTAGGAACAGCATATACTGTCTCACAAAAGAGTTCTATGGCCAACATTGAGCCGAAACCAGACAAGACCGAGAATGGTGGTTGCGAAGTATATTTCTGGACTGTCAGAAAGCCTCTGATAGTCCATACACAAGAGAGTTTGGCACGAAATGGAGAAACAGACAGGAGTAACAGGGAAGATTGTCTAATGGATAAAGCAGTACCTGAACAACAAAAGAGAGAGTCTATTAGAGTGAAGAGATCAGTAGCGTCCCACATGTGTCAATCCAATCGTAATCTTTGTGAAGGGTTGCAGGTAACCGAACTGGACTACCTATACATACCTTGACCAGAGGGAATATATCTCTTCTTGCCATTAGTCGCTGATGATGAAAAAAGTATGAGAAAGGACAAAAGCTTCTTGACTCTACACAGAATGACCTAATATTCAAGCAAGTGAAAGAAAGTGTTGCTGGGACCAGGAAACCGGACACAAGGTAGAGAAAACCCTCCTGACATGAGACAGAAAAAAGTCCCTGTGGGTTGACATTACAATGAGCCTGTCACCAGGATCAAACACTTATAAATCAACGCCATATGCAAGTTACCGAAGGTGAAGGGCAATCCTCGCAAGCATCTAACTGGGTGCACGCACGCACACACACACACACACACACACACACACACACACACACACACACACACACACACACACACACACACAGTGCCCAAATGAGCCACAGAGATATTAGAAAGAAATTTTTTAGTGTCAGAGTGGTTGACAAATGGAATGTATTAGGCAGTGATGTGGTGGAGGCTGACTCCATACACAATTTCAAGTGTAGATATGATAGAGCCCAATAGGCTCAGGAACCTGTACACCTGTTGATTGACGGTTGAAAGGCGGGACCAAAGAGCCAAAGCTCAACCCCTGCAAGCACAAATAGGTGAGTACACACACACACACAGTTAAATGTAATTTTGGTTTTTTGACAATTTTCTAGTCGGTGCTGTCAAAGATATATTATGGAATATTGATTGAAAATAAAATGAAAACATTCTGCTTAGTGTGTCATTTATAATTAACTTTCTAGTAAAGGGAGATTATTACGCTGAAGAAAGTCTGAGAGAAAGCAAAAACAATGAAGTCTAAAATAATTATAAAATAATAAGGGATAAATGTAAACTGAATAGAGAATTAACAAATCCAAATAACAATAACTATATTTCAAATAAATATAAAATATAGTCTTCACTGAACAAAAACAATGTCAGATGACTAAACATGTCTAAGCACATGTCAGACCAATGTCAAATGCTGCAGCGCCGAAACAGAACCCCCCCCCATAAATGAAACCTGAGAGAGCACAAAGGTTTAAAACGAAACTAGTTTCAGGCTTAAAGTGACTGAGCTACGAGGAGAAGGGGGCGCTAAACCTAATAGCACTTGAAGAAGGAAGAAATAGAGAGGGACATAATCCAGACATACAAAATACTCTGGAGGCCACAGAAATGTGTGAAAACAAATCTTCAATGCAAGAGCAGCAATCAAAGGGTAACGAACTAGCTGTGGAAAACGCAGCCCGTCGGAAAACGAAAAAGCAACGTCCAAAAATATTATATTTAAATTTATATTTAAAAATAAATATGACAAAATGCTCTGGAGCCATTGCATTTAGACGTCCATTAGAGCATAAGTTGAAACTGGGTCCTGGTAACTCTGGTGGGTAGGAAGAGGGACATAAGCCCTCTAGTGGCTGTTGTGTGGGACATGATCTCAGGATGGAGGTCAAAGCAGAGGGCGGGAAGAGCCGGCACGGTATATATAGTACAGCATTGCACCATCTCTCTCAGTCACCCGTGTTCGTGTGTACAGGCAGGGACTCCAGTCACCTCTCTCCATTCCTTTAATAGGTTTCTTACATTAAAGAATATATACATCTGAATATATAAAGAATACGTGAATATATATATCTATGTCTGAAAATAATAGGATGTTATATAATTCATTGTAGCTTTTTTTTTTAATATAATTGTTTGTATTTTTATCCAGAGACATGAAGTTACTATTGTTAAGTCTGCTCTTCGTCGGCCTGGCGCTGGCCGGGGAGCAGACAACAACAGAGCAACAGGAGCCGACAACAGATACGCCAGTGTTGATAAATAGACAGCTGTCAATAGAGGAACAGGTGCCGAACGCTAGACAGGTGGAGACGGAGACTCTGGCGTTAACAGTACCAGAGGATAAGGCTGGACTTCAGGTGAGTACATCCTCACCATGGGGACGTGAGTACACACTCACCCATCCGGCTTTTCCAGACCCATGATAAGGTGTCCCCAACAGAGTCCATTTTACATTATTTTAATTATATTATCATTCATTTTGCCTGGGGACCAACAGACCTCATCACTTGTGATTATCATACACAACACTGACCCCTCTATTGGTGATTATCATACACAACACTGACCCCTCTATTGGTAATTATCATACACAACACTGATCTATCATACACAACACTGACCCCTCTATTGGTAATTATCATACACAACACTGACCCCTCTATTGGTGATTATCATACACAACACTGACCCCTCTATTGGTATTATCATACACAACACTGACCCCTCTATTGGTAATTATCATACACAACACTGACCCCTCTATTGGTGATTATCATACACAACACTGACCCCTCTATTGGTGATTATCATACACAACACTGACCCCTCTATTGGTGATTATCATACACAACACTGACCCCTCTATTGGTAATTATCATACACAACACTGACCCCTCTATTGGTGATTATCATACACAACACTGACCCCTCTATTGGTGATTATCATACACAACACTGACCCCTCTATTGGTGATTATCATACACAACACTGACCCCTCTATTGGTGATTATCATACAGAATACTCCAGTAGTGAGTATCAAACATACTACAGACTCCCCCACTGGTGACTACCCTACATACCACTAATCACTAGTAACTACCATACACACTACTGACTCTGCTGGTAACTATCATACAGAGCCATGACTCTTTCACTAGTGACTATCGTTCATACTATTGAGTCTTCCACTGGTAACTTATCATACACACTATCGTCTCCTCCACCACGGTCTATCATACACACCACTTTAACGTCAGTGTTTTAAGGTATAATATCCAGCGGTTAACATATCAGCGTTATACTGCTGCCTATCTTCTTGAGATTATCTTGAGATGATTTCGGGGCTTTAGTGTCCCCGCGGCCCGGTCTTCGACCAGGCCTCCACCCCCAGGAAGCAGCCCGTGACAGCTGACTAACACCCAGGTACCTATTTACTGCTAGGTAACAGGGGCATAGGGTGAAAGAAACTCTGCCCAATGTTTCTCGCCGGCGCCTGGGATCGAACCCAGGACCACAGGATCACAAGCCCCGCGTGCTGTCCGCTCGGCCGACCGGCTCCTATACCTATTCATCCACACTTCAGCATCAGAAATCATACTAGAGTGTCGTGCTTTGTTTTTTGGTCCCTTTCTCTAACTTTCTGTCAATTCTCTGGTTCCTTTTCAAGCATATAACATCCGCCTGTTTCTCTTGCCGTGGCAAATAAACAAGGACAGACTCAACTCTGTCACAATGATAAATGTGACCCAGACCTACACGGTAAAGCTTAACCCGCGCCCCACAAGGTAACCCCTACCCCATGCCCCACAAGGTAACCCCTACCCCATGCCCAACAAGGTAACCCCTACCCCATGCCCCACAAGGTAACCCCTACCCCATGCCCAACAAGACAAAGGTTGACCCCACACACTACACACATAACATGTGGCCGTGTTTACTCTCCCCCGTTTGCTAAACAAGCCGCTTCGCCCTCACGTGGTAACATGGAATGCATTCTAATATTCCAGACACATTTATATGCTGCAGATCATCTTCTGAGTGTGCTCACGCACGCACATACATAGGGCCTCGCGGCTGAGTGGACAGGGCTTGTGGGTTGTAGTCCTAAGGGCTCGGGTTCGATTCCCAGCCGAGGCGGAAACAAATGGGCACATTTTTTTCCCCCTTGGTGCCTCTGTTCACCTAGCATTAAATTGGTACCCTGGGAGTTAGACAGCTGCTACGGGCTGCTTCTTGGGGATTTGTGTGCGTGTGTGTGTGTATTCACCTAGTTGTTCTTGCGGGGGTTGAGCTCTGCTCTTTCGACCCGTCTCTCAACTGTCAATCAATCAACTGTAACTAACTACTAATTTTTTGTTCTTTTTTCCCACACACACACACCCAAAACGCAGCTCCGTAACAGCTGTCTAACTCCCAGGTACCTATTTACTGCTAGGTAACAAGGGCATCAGGGTGAAAGAAACTTTGCCCATTTATTTATGCCTAGTCCGGGAATCGAACCCGGGCCTCAGAATTACGAGTCCTGCGCGCTGTCCGCTCAGCTGCCAGACCCCTGAAGACCTCAGCTCTGTGTGTGTGTGTGTGTGTGTGTGTGTGTGTGTGTGTGTGTGTGTGTGTGTGTGTGTGATGCAGTTTACCCTGTCGGGAAGACCGAGCAATATTGGCCTACATTTTCACTGCTCAGCAGGAAAACTGTCCTCTAATCCTGACGATAAAGTCTCCTATCTCTGCTTTACACAGCCAAAATACAGCCCTTTATATTTTCAACTTCTGTTCCAGAACTGTTCAATATTCTTTCTATAAATTTATGAATAAATTATTCTTAAAGTTGTCTACAAAATTCTGGACCACCATTCATTAAACCAACAGCCTAATTGTTAAAATATTCAATATTAACTGTTATTTTCAAGTGGGATATTTGTAAACAGACACTTGAACACTAGGCATAAACAGTTACTTTTGTTTAGTGTCCCACTTTTCTGTTCTTGAGGCTCAAGAGATCTTCCACGGTTCCATAATTTTGTGTAGAATTATTAGTATTATTACAGGCAATCCCTGTAATGTGTACAGTCCTTGTGTCCCTGTAACTTTAGGTAAATTTTGATGCAATTTCGTGTTCACTCTTAAACATATCGACCTTTAACGAAAATATGATTTTTGTCATCTAGAATCCGGCTGTATTACTCGCTCAACTTCTAACTTACCTGAATGGAGTTTACACTACCGCCATCGCCGCCGCAAACACAAATGTGGCGGCGCTTTTCAACGCTCTGGGAATCAACCCGGCTGTTTTGGGTCCGGGACCCGTAGCTGTGCTGGGCACTATCGTGGGCGTCTTCTCTGTCGTCAATTCCATCAAGATTACTGTCCTCAACCTCCTTCACAAGGCGCTAGAAATGATCAGCTTTGTGTTGGCCATTATTGGCCTCGCTGTTCTAATCCGTAAGTTATAATAAAAATGGGATAAATATGAACAAAAACTAGCTCAAATAATGCCTCAAATTCGCAGTTTATTATATTGCAATATTTAACTGTGCTTGGCGTTCTTTTTCAGTTTATGCGATCATAAAAGAGGGCAAGTTGACTGAGCTGCTGGGAGCCCTCACCGGAGATGAGGAAGAGGACCCAATGCAGACCTACAGCAGCTACGCCAGCAGTGCCAGGGCCCTCTTTGACTCGCCCAAGATACAACGCCTCGCAGCCAGAGTGCACGAAGCCATCACCAAATACGACTAAACCTTCCCATGTTTACTCTTTCGACGTTCATCTCTCTTCCCGGGAGAGATGAACGTCGCCTTTCTCATAAACCCTGTATAATTTATATATTATTTATTTGTTATATTATTGGTCGTTCCTCTCAGGGCTGGACCCTGAAGCGGGAGACTTTATACGCAGTCCATTACACGACTTGGAGAAAAACGTTGAAGACAAACGACTTGGTACTGAGACTGTGGGAGAGCTCTCTATCAACACTGAACCGTTGGTAAGGTGGACTTATTTGACCCGCTGAGGCAATACGCTTTCAGTTTACCCTGTATTAATGGTAGCGACAAGAGCCGTTTTCTCTCAATCTCAGTGCCCGACTTGTGACCTAGACGTACCTGAACCTCTGTGTTTAAGACATGCTATAATAGCCATGTTTTTCACTGTACATATTTTATGTATATTAAAGTCACATATTTTATGTGCTCTACGCCTGTTGGAGTCGCACACACCTGAAGCCGCCCTATATCAACGGTGTGAGCGTCTCTCAACTCTAAGTCAACTGACCTACGATATTCGACTGACTTCATGACGCACAAACATGCACTATTATATTTTTATATGTAAAATTTGTAACATATTAATAAAACTTATACAAAATAAATATATTTTTAATGTGTAAACAATACAAAAAAAATAAAAACATCATTTATATATTTTTGTTCTGAAATGTTAATTAATAATTAATAATAATAATAATAAAAATTCACTGTGTCGGGGGAACAGGCAGCCATTATGTATATACAGCATATATAAGGCTTATATCGAGGTCTTCCTCAGGGTCGAATTACTGACTCCGCCCAGCACTCCTGGGTACCTATTTACTTCTAGGTGGACAGGGGCATGAGGTGATAAGAAACGCGCCCAAACAATTCTGTCCCGGCCGGGATTCGAACCAGGATTTCTCGATTATGGGTCGAGAACGAACCCAACTGTACTATCGGATCCTTTACCCTCATAAAATTATGTTAACAAATATTACTAAATATTTTAGAAACTGGCGGGAGTCACCATTTTGTAATCTATTAGACCAAAGAAGAAAACACATTTTGTACTAAAAATATCCTAACCAGAGACTGACAAATTGAGAAATGTTAAACAATTGTTATCCTTGAAGGTATGGATAATAATTATCTACACTAAATGAACAAATGCATGTGTATCTACACTACATACTACATAGTGTATGTATCTACACTACATACTGTCTTCATCACTATTACAACCTTCGCTACCCGAGTAACGCCGGGTACCCCCATCTACATCCATCATCATCACTACATTCCCCCTCCACACCACCTTTCCTCTGCTCCATCATCTTTCCTATCCTCTACCCTCTTCCTTACCCTACACTACCTTCCCCCACTTTCCTTCACTACTCCACCACTTACCCTACTCTGCACCACTCTTATCTCTGAAACCATCTTCAATAAACACTGTCTTCAATTAACTAAATCAGATAAACTAACATTTAATTATGCAGAAAATAATATGCTACATGAACCTGAGTGAGGAGGTAAGCTGGCATTTAGCGAGATTGGAAATCAGTGTAACACTCTATTTCATGCAAAGAGCGGAGGACGCATGGACCTCGACCCTGATCCGCTTATGACCATCACGGAACAGCGAGCAGTCAACCTGCAAAGTTTGGTGAGGCTAGCTCTAAGCGTCTGGCCCCAAACTTCGAACACACATTCTATTTTATTCATATAGTATCAATAAACCTGACCCGGTACCTCAAGTATTATTATATTACTGGATAGAGTCTCCTGCCGTTAGCATTCCCGCTGTGTGACGCGGTAAGTTAACCTGGAAATACACGGTAAAGGACTAAATAGAGCAACAAATTACAGAATACTGTGAATACGGTATAGGCTACTGCAGATCTCTCCAGTGCAGCCTACTGAAGATATAACCATAACAGTGTCACCATCGATGATAATTGTTTAAAATGTACTTACAATCGGTTGTATTGGATGATCATAATATTTTTGTTGCGTCTTCAAAATTTCTGTTTTGTCTGATGGAGTTTCAGATACATCGTACACATACGGTTCATCAACGAATTTTAAAACTGACCTAGCCTTACCCATTCTAACCTAATCTAATCCAAACCAAGGTAACCTAACTCAACTGAGCGTAACATGGCCTATTCCAAGCTAATACATCTTAACCTTATGATGTTGTTGTGTTGATTTAGGGGCGACGACGATCGTGGGATCGGTATTATGATATATAGGGTAATGATGTATACAATTAGAAAACGAGCTATGACGAAATGTCTTGTGTACGATTTGATTATATCCGGCAGTTTCGCGCCAGAATAGTCATCATGCATCTGGCAACCGACCCTGGAAATTAGCCCAGCCAATGGGATGCAGTTTGGGCTAGACGAAGCTCCGCCTACTTGGCCTACAACCCTAGATGGTCGCTGGCGGGAGTGTGCGCCAGGAGGCACTCGGCGGCGGAAAAATTAAAACATGGGGAGAAGAGATTTTACCGTTTATGACTTTTTGCGAGAGGAATTTCTTTAACAGTAACTGATTCAAATGTGGTGATAATACGTTTTCGTTAAAGCCTATTGCCCTGTTTACACTGGTGTGAACAAATCTAGCCAATTAGGTGCACAGAATTCTGATGCTAGTTCATAAAATTTGAATTTCAAATAATGTTTTTTGTTTTTGTTGTATATTAATACTCGAAGCCAGGAAAACATATGCTAGATTTATTTTTCGAGTGTAAAAGTTCAAGTTCAAGTATGTTCATTGAGACAAGAAAGAAATACATCTCAAAGGGATAGAGTAGCTTAGGCTATTTCTACCCTCCCCCCCCCCCCCTAGTGTAAAAGCAGTATATATATATATACAATGCAAAGTATACCCTCCCCTTTCTCGGTGTATATACACTTGAGTTTACCTTAGGTAAATGTTCAGGTCTATGTTCATGACTAGAGTGAACGTGCTGGTTGTTCAGTAAGCCATTGTGGTGCCCTTAATAACCCTCCACAGGTTGACTGGCGTTACGCCCAACACCACAACAACGGTAAACAATGGTATAATACGACGCATAATAATTATACATGGAACAAGTATAATGAGTATAATGATTAAGCATCGAGGCACTGGTATGTTAAATACAGCATACATTTCTGTATTTAACATACTGGTATGTTAAATACAGCAATTCCATACATTTCTCCCTCAATCCCGCCCTCCACGTTGCCGAAATTGTTCAGAGCCCAATTGATGGTTTTTTGTAGGACTGGCTGTCATCTTTTTTTTCATATAAAAGCATTTTGAAAGTTTAAACTAATAAAGCTTAATCATAACTCTACAACCTGATAAGATAATTGCGAAATAGTTCTTTGCAACATGATGGGGGCGATTCATGAGGCTATGGCTAGAGCCATAGACGGATGTGAGACTAACAAGGATAGTGAGATTGCACAGAAGAAAGCACCTTTTGCATCCCCGAGCAGTCGGGCGTTGAATCCCTGAGAGAGAGAGAGAGAGAGAGAGAGAGAGAGAGAGAGAGAGAGAGAGAGAGAGAGAGAGAGAGAGAGAGAGAGAGAGAGAGAGAGAGAGAGAGAGAGAGAGAGAGAGAGAGAGAGAGAGAGAGAGAGAGAGAGAGAGAGAGAGAGAGAGAGAGAGAGAGAGAGAGAGAGAGAGTACTGGTGACACAGGGAAGAAAGGGGTGGATGTATGTAGGTGCTGGTGTGCTCTGGTGTACTAATAAGGGGACAGGAGAAAATCATGGCGCGACGCTGACACGTGTCGCCTTGATGTGTGTTGTGTGTGTTCATAAAAATGGTTTTATGAACGCAAGTGTATGAAAGCGCGTAATGATTACGCCATGTGCAGTGAGATGTAACACACACACACACACACACACACACAAGTTGAGAGGCGGGACCAAAGAGCCAAAGCTCAACTCCCGCAAGCACAATTAGGTGAGTATGTGAACACACATACGCGTGTGTTCACTTCTTTAACTCTACTTAAAAATGTCCTCCTTAGTAGTACACACTAACTCTACTTTCTCTCTCTGCCTTAGAGGACGAGAAAGCAGGTCCTCTCTGTTGTTACCACACTTGCGTTATACCTTGGAACGGCATCCATACACGGGTAAGATCCAACCATAAGTGTCTTGACGATTGGATTGCCAATTCAAGGGGTTCATGAACCTGTACACCTGTTGATTGACGGTTGAGAGGCGGGACCAAAGAGCCAGTGCTCAACCCCCGCAAGCACAATTAGGTGAGTACACACACACACACTGGATAGCGCTCGGGGGTCGTAGTCCTAAGGGCCCGGGTTCGATTCCCAGCTGAGGCTGAAACAAATGGACAGTTTCTTTCACTCTGATGCGCTTGTTCACCTAGCAGCAAATATGTATCCTGAGAGTTAGACAGCTGCTACGAGCTGCTTCCTGGGGATGTGTGTGTGTTAGAAAGAAATATATGTAGTAGATAAAATAGAGGGAAATAGATTGGTTAGAAAGGCGGGGTCCAAGCGTTAAAAAAAACTTGATTCTGCAGATAAAAACAGTAAATACAAATAGTAAACACCTCACGACACTGGAAGACACACACACACACACACAAACACTACAACACACAACACACATACACATACAGTGTCATACACACATACACACATACACACTGTACACCAGTTGATTGACGGTTGACGGGACCAAAGAGCCAGAGCTCAACAAGCACAATTAGGTGAGTACACACACACACACACACACACACACACACACACATACACATACACATACACATACATATACACACACACACACACACACACACACACACACACACACACACACACACACACACACACACACACACACACACACACACCGGAAATTGAATCCTTCAACTCGATGTTTGCAGATGACGCGAGACTTGTCGCACTACTACGGAATGCAGGACACTTCACAGGATGACCTAGAATCCTAGACTCATCATGGAGTGTAGGTCATCAAGAGTGTGTCAAACTAGAGAAATGCTGCCTAGCCTAATGCTCACACTTGCACTTCCAGAAATAGTTTACGAACACATGATCTCATTTTGTCTTAAGCATCCGTTGTTTGTTGTTTTAGATTCAGCTACTCGGAACTTTCTGCCGAGACTGGAAGGAAGCCTACTAATACTCGCAAGAAAAAGTTCCAAGCAGCACGGGATATGGTGAGCCCGTCGTCCTCACTTGGCATTGGAGATGTGCCTATCACTGGCAACTATATTAACGGGAAATATCAAGACAACTGTTAAACAACACACCTTAAAGATGAGTAATGTGTATAAGAATGAATTAAGCGAGTCTTCAGAATAGAACTCAACTAGTCAGCAGGGAGAGCTGGGATACCCCTGTGCTAGGGGTCGTGTTATTAAGGAATTACAATCTGTTTGTGATCATTTGCGTAGGTACTAAATAATAACACACTAGACATCCCGGATACAAGAGTGTCTCCGTCGTGGAAATAGCCTATTACGGTTTTAGTCTGTCACTTGCGGTACACTGGTTCCAGGACCACTCTTTCTTCTTAGGATTTCCAGTCCTCATGTTAGCCGGCAATCCAGTCGTC